GGCTCGGCCGAGAAAAAAGCCTGTTTTTTGTTTTTTTAATTTGTGTCAGGGCCCCAAATTATAACCTTGGTTCTTCAATGTCAATCCCCCCCCCCCCCCCCAAAATGAGACGCAAAATCTGCAAACCACGGATCTGGCGCTTAGACCTCTGAGCCAATCCGTTTCAACTTTCAAGCCCCTCTAACAAGCCTCCCGCGACTCTTACAACAAACGTCACCTTCTAATGCGGTCATATCTTTGGAGAATACTTCTCCATGGGCTCTTCTTAGTTCTGAAACATGTCGCGTACTTGAGGTATACTCTAGTTTGCATACTCAGTTGACGGAATTATAGGGCTAGCTTTTGAACGGGCTTGCGCACAACAGCGCGGTTTCCGTATCTAAAAGTCCCATGTGGGTTATGATAGTATTCAAGTGAAGCTCCTGTGCGGAGAGTCGGACCCTTTTGGCTAGTAATGCCGCGCATATATATGGGTTACGGTTGTGTTCCATTCACTGATATCTGGTGCAAGTTTTACGTTGCCGAGCACGGAACAGCAGCTTGCGGTTCTTGTTTTCGGGCAATATGTTAACAAAATTTAAGGGCACTCGAGTGGTATGCTATAGGCTTGCTATATCTCAGCTCCAGTGCACATGGGAGCGCGGGTTGCAATATGGTCGTAATTACTGTCCCTCGTAACAGAACTTGCCGCTGTTAACACGCATCAACACGTTCACGACACGACTTTGCACTGTATTGTGGATAAGTGCAGTCCGCATGTGATAGTTTCTGCGCAGCCTGGCCGGGGATTGAGTGTAGGGAATAGTCTGAATGCCGGTTGTGCTCTGGGTAACTAGGTGGCAAGAGCTTTGTAACCTTTTAAATAACTTGAGTTTCGTTTATTCAGCTATCCGAGACAATGCTCAACTATGTTAATATACTCTTGATAGGCTGTATCCAATGACCGATTTGGGAACCTTATTCAAGGCCTCTACCCGACACTAACACTGTACCTATATGCTATGTGTTACCTTGCGCAAGTCCAGCCCGAGTCTTATTAAGTGTAGCATTGAGGTATCTAAGATGAATGGATTAGAGCTTGGGTGCTCAATAGAAGTAAGGTTAGCGGCACGGAACGTGCCGCTTCTAGTTCTGAAAATGAGCTAATGAAAATGCTTCTTTCATATCGACTTCAGGGCCGACTTTTAACATTGTCAGTGCCACCATCCGGCATCATCCTACTTCTATCAAAGACATAACACCATCTTTGAACCTAGAATTATGTCAGAATTTGGCGAGTTGTATGCTACGGCAGGTGCGCCAAGTAGTTTTAGGCTTCATTTAGACAAACTGTGACCATATTGCGCAGATTTTTGTCTCATTCCAATGGGAACTAACGATCCTTCAGTAAGCTACCTCAATATTACTTTTTGCTTAGGACTGAGACAAGTTGGAACGAAGGTCGGCCCTCAAATCGCGGAGGTATGTGCTCCCCTCCAGTCTTGGTCAGATAACCCAAAGTTGCGCCCCATTGCCCCAGTGCCAAAGAGTCTTGGAGAAATCTGGTCTCACGTACAAGGTTCGTCCATTATACGACTCGCTCTTATGGTGACTCACAATATAGTCTCCCACAGCTTCAGTGCGTTGCCAACAACTGTCTGCCATCTCGATTATATTGATCGATTCTTTCTTTGGCGATAGTGGTTATGGGACAAATCTAGGTATATAGATTATGGGACTCCATGCTACTCGTACTAAGAAATTGCCTTGGCGCCGCCAGAAGGGCCATGGTCAGCTGTATGCAAAGCGATTCATGATTGCCACGCGGCCGTGCATGCGCTCGGTAAGTATATAGACTTATCTCTGACTAAAGTCACTCAAGAGTCTACCATTCATCCAGGAACCCCGCGGGTGGCGACAGACATCCGAATCGGTACGCGCGTGGACAAAAAGATCGCACCGGGAACTGGGAACGATGGGAAGGTTCAGAGAGTGGTTGATATCTTGGCGGCGGACAAGAAATAAAGATGATATGATGGAGCGTAGCGTACTTGTGGATAATGTGAAGATGTAGGCATTCCTTTTGGGTTGGAGTATGTTGGTTACAGCTTATTCAGTGAACGGCGTTTTGAACGGTCGCGAACGAGCTAGCACAAAGCCTGTTTGTGTACGGTCGGTTGTGGACTAAGGTAACATTCGTCTACGCTGAAATAAAGCGTAAAAAACTGGAAAGTTCGCTTAACTAGACACAATGACTTGAGCACTGTGATTCTGGAACTCGTACGTTATGATCGTCGCGGCAGCTAAGATTGTGAACACATGTTTGTTCCTCATTGACACGCCTGATCCCTCTCACGTGATGGTCGCGTTCTTGTAAACAACCGCCGCCGACCGCAATTCAGCATGGCGCTCCAAGTTATCTCTCGTGATATCAATTATACCGAAGAGAAAGGTAGCTGAGTTCTGAACCTGGATCGTTGGTACGGCTGAATAACGCCTGTAATTCTAGAAAAGATCACGGACTTCTTCAACAAGTTTGAGGGTAGCACTGAGAAAGATGTTACTCGGGGCTTTGATGAGCTCGATTTGAATGAGGAGACTGAAGGTGATGGTGCCGCTCCAGAAGGGTTTCTGAGGATGAAATATGGAAAGCAACTGGTGAGCATTGGTACATTACGGTCCAATCTATGTTGTTGGAGTTGACTGGTATTGGGCAGCAACGAATTGCGAACAGGCAGCAGTCTACGCTTGTAATTGAGCTGGAGGATCTTCTCGAGGTACGTATCTTGCGCATAGACTTGATCCAAACGCTTATATCATGACCATCAGTATGAGCGTACAGGGGCTGAGCTAGTTACGCGTATCAAGACCAATGTTCGACGATACACCTCGCTATTCTGCGAAGTTGTTGATGAATTGATGCCAGAAGCGACGAGGGATATCACTTATATGGACGATGTGTTGGATACTATCATGTCTCAACGAGCCCAGGTAAATGCGGAGAACGAGGAGGCTGGTCAACCTGGGTTTCCTGCTCAACTCCTGAGGCGCTAGTATGTAAACTTTATACTACTGGTTCTTACTTTACTAACAAATGCATCAAATTTACAGTGATCTTTATTTCCAACCCCTCTCCTCAGACGTTGCCCTTGCCGTACGCGACGTCCGCGGCAAACACCTCGGCCAACTTATCACCGTCCGAGGTATCGTCACCCGTATCAGCGAAGTCAAACCCCTACTCCTCGTCAACGCCTACACATGTGACAAATGCGGCGCCGAAATCTTCCAAAACATCTCCCAAAAACAATTCACGCCTCTCACCGACTGCCCTTCGAACGCGTGCAAAGACGGAGTCGGACGCGGAGCGCTCCATATGCAAACGCGCGCGAGTCGGTTTAGCGCGTTCCAGGAAGCTAGGATCCAAGAGATGGCGGACCAAGTCCCGGTGGGACATATCCCGCGTTCGATGGTCGTGCATCTGTTTGGAGGTCGGACGCGGGCGATGACTCCTGGAGATGTGGTCCATGTTGGCGGTGCGTTTTTGCCGACGCCGTATACTGGGTTCCAGGCTATTCGTGCTGGGCTGTTGACGGATACGTATCTCGAGGCGCATTCGGTTATCCAGTTGAGGAAGCAGTATGATGAGATGGAGGTTACGGCCGAGGTTGAGATGGGGATTGAGCGGTTGAAGCGGGATCCGGCGTTGTACAGCAAGCTTGCGGCGAGCATCGCGCCTGAGATTTATGGGCATGAGGATGTGAAGAAGGCGTTGTTGCTGTTGCTTGTTGGAGGAGTGACGAAGAACGTTGGAGATGGGATGAAGATTCGAGGGGATATTAACATCTGCTTGATGGGTGATCCTGGTGTGGCCAAGTCGCAGTTGTTGAAGTATATTTCCAAGATTGCGCCGCGTGGAGTTTATACGACTGGAAAGGGTAGTTCGGGTGTGGGTTTGACGGCTGCGGTGATGAGGGATCCGGTGACGGATGAGATGGTACTTGGTGAGTGGATTATTTTGATTTATTGGTTTGGACTAAATATTTGTATAGAGGGTGGTGCACTCGTCTTGGCCGATAACGGTATTTGCTGCATTGACGAGTTTGACAAGATGGAAGAGTCCGACCGTACAGCGATTCACGAAGTTATGGAACAGCAAACTATATCGATTTCCAAGGCTGGAATTACCACTACTCTCAACGCGCGCACTTCGATTGTCGCGGCGGCTAACCCTCTCTATGGACGATATAACCTCAAGGTTTCGCCAGTGGAGAACATCAACTTGCCGGCAGCTCTTTTGTCTCGTTTCGATCTCATGTTCCTGATTCTGGACAAGCCTTCGAGGGACGAAGACGAGCGGCTAGCGCAGCATGTTACCCACGTTCATATGCACGGACGGCATCCTGAACTCGAGTTTACTCC